GGACTAAGGCAGCTGGTGGTGGTACACGCATTTATCCCAGCCCTTGGGAGGCAGAGGCGGATCTCTGAGTTCAAGGTCAGCCTGGTCTACAGAGTGAGTTCCAGAACAGCCAGGGCTACACAGTGAAACCCCATCTTGAAAAACCAAAAAAAAAAAAAAAAAAAAAGTAATGAACTAAGTTATCTCGGTAGAGCAAATGTCAAGACAACATAGCACCAAGGCTGTGGCATGGTTACTGCTGGCTGCTTCCAGCAAGGTTTACAGTGAGAATTGGAAACAAAAAGGTTACAGTGAGAACTGGGAAGAAAAAGGTTTACAGAGAGAACTGGGAGCAAGATTTGGAAAAGAAACAATTGGGCCAGGACAAGAAGTGTGAATGTGGCTGCAGCTGTGGGCAAGACAAAGTGGGGGTAGTTTAAAGAGATTAGCACCACAAAAAAGAAATACGTGCACTTTGTACAGGAACAATAGGAGAGGTACCTTGAGCGAGAAATCCTATCTATTGAAGGTTCTAGGATGTGAACATAGAACCAATTTGAATTTCCTTAGTGCCTGAAAAGAGAGATCCTTCAGATTGCCCTGCTGGGAAAGGACCACCTAGGGAGTGCTTTCCTGCATTCAGCAAGGCAGGCACTCAGGGGTTACTGCAACATCATCCAATAGACTCCATCTACTATCAGAGCTGGCAAAACTTCATGTTCCATGTGGTTCTGGTTTTTAGGAATGTAGAACACCAGACTTAGAGGGTTATTTATGGAGGCTTGCCCCAAGATTTTTTTGAGAAAAGCCTGGGAGGCTAGGCAATGTGTAGTGGGGTTGGATTCCCTGTGCAGAGGTCTAGAATAAGATATGTGTGATTGTTTGAGTGTAATTGCCCCCCCCCCACATAAGCTCATTGGGAGTGGCACTATTAGGAGATGTGACTTTGTTGGATGAAGTGTGTCACTGTGGGGGTGGGCTTTGAGGTCTCCTATGCTCAAGCTGCAGCCAATGTCTCAGTTTATATCCTGTTGCCTGTGGATCAAGATGTAGAATTCTCAGCTCCTTCTCCAGCACCATGTCTGCCTGTCTGCATGTCGCCATGTCCCACCATGATGATAATGGACTGAATCTTTGAACTGTAAGTCACCCAACTAAATGTTTTCCTTTATAAGAGTTGCTGTGATCATGGTGTCTCTTCACAGCAATAGAACCCCCAACTAAGACATAATGTGTGAGGAGACACTGAGGGAGAAGCTGAGGCAGTGGAGAGCCTAGGTTGTCGGAGAACATGGGATGCCTGAAGAAAAGGACAAAGCACTGAGTGGAACTGGCCCAGCAGAGGCCGTGAGTGCTGCACCTTGGGCAGGGTCAAAGGGCCAAGGCTACCTGAGTCTGTTGGGAGTATGAGTGATGCCACCACCCACCCGGGGCACTAGACACAGACCTGCTGGATTTAATGTTTACTCTGCTAGGCTTTGGTCCAATACGTGCTTCCAATTCTCCTGTTTTTTCCCTTGTGGAATGGGAGTATTTACTCTGGCATTGTATAATGGAAGTATATCATTTCTTCATTTTGCAGCAGTTCACAATTAAAAATTTCCCTTGAGTTTCAGAAGAGAATTTGGACTTTTCTGACTTTTGGAACTGTTAGGATTCCAGGACCTCTTAGAAGTTGGACTAAATGTATTATGGGATGGCCACGAGCCGTTGAGCATGAACGTAATGGTTTGAATCTGAAGTGCCCCTACAGGTTCATGCTTTCAACACATGGTCCCCATTTGGTAGCATGATTTGGGGAGGCAGTGGAGTCTTCAAGAAGTATAGCCTAGCTGGCAGGATTCGGTTACCAGGGGTGGGCCTTCAGAGGTTGGGTCCCTACTCCAGGCTCCTCTGCCTCCCTCCCGCCACCCGCCACATGGTGAGCTCCTGCCATCGGCTTTCACCTGCATGAAGAACTGAGACCCTTTCTCCCTTCTGTCAAGGGCTTTGATCCCTACAGTGACACGAAAGTAACCAATAAGTCTGTGGCAAAGATAATGGGAGAAGATGGGAGGCTGTTATGTTTTGTCTTAAATAAAAACACTCTAGGGCTGACAAGATAGCTCAAGATGGCTCCATGAAGACAAGCCTGAAGACTCACACGCTTGAAGGAGACCTGACTCGTAAACGTGGTCCTCTGACCTCCACGGGCACTCCGGGGCACAAGTGTGCGTACACACACAATAAAGAAACGCAATAATTTTTTTTAAAAAAGAGCTTTAACTCCTAATCAGACACCACCTGTTCTTTTAATGGCATGTCCACTAAAGGCTTGAAAAGTCATGTTTATCCAGACTTACTTTTTTGAAGCGCTTACGGTCTGTTCCTGACTTGTTAAGGTATCAATCCTGTTTAATTCCAGATAAAAACTTAGGGCATAGCCAGGAATGATGGCATATGTCTTTAGTTCCAGCACTCGGGAGGCAGAGGGAGACAGATCTGGTCTATGGAGAGAGTTCCAGGACAGCGAAGGCAAAACTTTGTCTTGAAAAATCAAAACCAAACAAAAGCAAACCAAACACCAAAATTCAGGACAGGTGACTGACTCAGGGGATAAAGGACTTTACCACTAAACTTGGTCAACCTAGTTTGAGCTCAGGGCCCCACATGGTGGAAGGGGGAAACCAAGTCCTCGCACCTCTACACGTGAGCACTGGCCTGTATACACACACCCACCCAGAGAAGTATGCTAGCAAAAATTCTTGTGTGTTGGTAACCTTTTCATCTTGGAGACTATAATGTAGTCACATCATTCGCACCTCTACACGTGAGCACTGGCCTGTATACACACACCCACCCAGAGAAGGATGCAAACAAAAATGTTTGTGTGTGTTGGTAACCTTTTCATCTTGGAGATTATAATGTAGTCACATCATTCGCACCTCTACATGTGAGCATTGGCCTGTCTGTATACACACACACACCCAGAGAAGTATGTTAACAAAATTTTTTGTGTGTGTTGGTAACATTTCATCTTGGAGATTATAATGTAGTCACATCATCTCTCCCTTCCCTTTCTTCCTTCCACAATTTTTTTCTAAAGATTTATTTTTATGTGCATTGGTATTGTGCCTACATGTATGTCTGTGTGAGGGTGCCAGATCCCCTGGAACTGGGGCTACAGACAGCTGTGAGCTGCCATGTGGGTCCTGAGAATTGAACTCAGGTCCTCTGGAAGAGCAGCCAGTGCTCTTAACCCCTGAGCCATCCCTCCAGTCCCCACAACATTTTTTTTTTTTTTTTTAAAGAGGAAAAAATTTCAAGTATTTTATTTCTTGGAAGTCCTAGTCTTGTTATGATGCTATCCCTGAGCCTGGGTTTATAGTTTATAAAAATAGTTTAATCTCAGTTCTGGAGGCTGGGAAGTCCAAGATCAAGTGAGGGCCTCGTGCATCCTCTAAACAAGGCACCGGGTTGGAAGAGGAAGGGACGTGAGCATGTGTGGAACAGAAAAAACATGAGAGATAGCTTCAAGCTGGAACCCTTCTCAAGATAACCAACCCATCCCTTCAGGAATTAACCCAGACACATGAGAAAAGCATCCGTGGGGACCTGACCCTATGACCCAAGTGCTTCCCACTAGGGCCCACCTCCAACATGGCTGCATTGAAGAACTGCTCTCTAGCACGAGAACTTCAGGGAACACACTGAAGCGAGAGTGTGCTGGCCAGTCTTGTCAGCTTGATGCAAGCTAGACACATTTGGAAAGAGAACCTGAACTGAGAAAACATGCCCCCACCAGACTGGCCTGTAGGCAAACCTGAAGGGCATTTTCTCTTTTTTCTTTTCTTTTTTTTTTTTTTTTTCCGAGACAGGGTTTCTCTGTGTAGCTTTGCGCCTTTCTCCTGGATCTTGCTTTGTAGACCAGGATGGCCTCGAACTCACAGAGATCCACCTGGCTCTGCCTCCCGAGTGCTGGGATTAAAGGCATGCGCCACCACTGCCCGGCTAAGGGCATTTTCTTGATTGATGGTTGCTATGTGTGTGTTGGGCGTGGGAGGGGGAGTGTCCCAGCTCACCGTAGGTGGTGCCAACCCCAGGCAGGCGATCCTAGATGGTGTAAGAAAGCAGACTGAGCAAGCCACAGGGGGCAAATCCATATAGCACTCTTGTGTCCTCTGCATAAGTTCCTGCCCTGACTCCCTTCAATGTTGGACTATGATATAGAAGTATAAAAAACAAAAACAAAACAACAACAAAAAAAACCCTTCCCTCAAATTGTGTATGGCCACGGTGTCTTATCACAGCATTAGAAACACTAAGTCAGAGATTGGTACCGGGAGTGGGGCGTTGCCATGACAGATGTGACATTACACTTGTACTTTGGGCTGGGAAAACCAGAGTGTTCAGTTATCAGTGGGCAGTTGTGTGGGAGCTTGGAAGGGGATGCTAAGAACAAAGCAGAGGATGGAGGTCTGGCTTGTGCAGTGTCAGAGGGAAGGGTGAGAGTCTCTTAAAGATTCCACCAGGGCCCTTTGTGTGATGTTTTAAGAAAGCGGTGGTCTCTGGTTAACCGGAGTTTAGGAACTGGCTGTGATTAGTAAGACCAGCACAGCTGGAGTAAAAACCGCTCTGCTAGGACAACGGATGCTGGTCTGCTGGAGCTGAAGAGTCAGTTGTGATGAAGGGTGCAGAATCAGAGGCAGAATCTTCTAGGAAGTGTTCCCTCAGGGACATCACACACAACAAGGAGGCGCGGTGGATGGGGCTGGAGACCAATCACTTCTGCAGTACCAGGTGGGTTTACAGATGAATGCTGCCTTGTCTGCAGCTTTATGGCTTAAGCTCGACCTTCCTCCCGGAAGTTACTAGGTCATTGTTTTAAGGCTCTGCACCCCTGTGGTGTACCTACTGGCTAGATCTACTTCCTTTTCCAACCATTAAAAATTACTGCTCAACCGTGACTTCCTTTGAAACCTTACAATGCTCTCTTTCTTGTTCCTAGGGACCACGGCCTATAGGAATCACACGATCACGTGTAATATTCGGATGGTTTTATTAACAAGTATATAATACATATATTGCATACTGTATATAGTATATGAGGACTGTACAGTACAAATTTATGTTCACAGTTTGACATGACAAAATGTCATTACTGAATTCCCATTGGACTACAGGGTAGAAACAGAGAAGGTACATTTAAACATTCACATCTTTAGTAAGAAAGATTACCAAAATGTTTCAGTATTTGCAAGTATACTAATGCATGCTAAAAACCTTTACCCATTCAGTCTTATTAGCTTATAAAATATATTACACTTTATTAAAAATTTCTGCATAGTTTATACAAGTATTAAAGTCCTGTAAATGCAATAACCCTGCTATGGCTTGCAGGGAGGGTGTAAGAGATGCTAAGCAGAGAGGCTATTCTGACCCTCTAACACTAAGTACATAACAGGAGAAAAAAAAGTGCTAGTATTTGTAAAACACGTTGTAGCCCCCGTTTAATGCATGTAAAATGGCTTTGTAAATGGATTAAGTGAATCTGCAATCATTTAGAAACTGTTAACCTTGACCAAGAAGAGAATAAAGAAAACTCAAGTGACTTCATGTACGTTAGCAATTCCTTCAAGACGATTCTATTTTCAAACCAAATTACTATAAAACCTCTGATCTCTGAGATTGTCTTTACAACCTAAAGGATGGCGTGCAGATTACAGTATCAGCAAGTCTCTCAAATTCCACATTAGTGCAATACTGATATAGTGCATTGGGTGTTTAATACAACATACACATACATAGATCACTCCCCTGTAATTCTGTTCCAAGGCTCTCAAAACGTCCGCGAATTTAGCATCTTCTTAGTTGAACAAAGCTATGCCGCACAGCCTCCAAACCAAGTGACGTGAGATTGCTAAATGCCCATTTAATGATGTACACTCCAACTGGGAAACGGGAAAACACAAGATATTCTGATTTCATTTTAACTTCCCCAAGATGATACTTGAGCTACGTAATCGAATGAACTCTGTGACAATTTACATGGCCCTGACTTCATGTTTACAGCCTGCTCTCATCAATTTAAAACACTGCAATGGGGCCACCACTGACTGTAACACAGCACGTCATCCAAAACCCAGGGCATCTTATCTTGTATCTTCCACACACACACAAAAAAAAAACAGCTTAAAAAAAAAAAAACCCAAAAAACTAAGAGACTACATTTCTCAACACTTATCATAGTAAAATACAAATACATACACATATAAGAAAATTTGGTAAGGGCCAATGAATGAAGAGTATATCAGACCAGCATGGGAATAGAGAACGGATTCTTTGGGTTACTTTCCTTTCAGATTTAAAATGGATCTTTCTGATTGAACTGTTAACATGATCTAAGCAAGCTAAAGAGTAACGTAATACAGACTTTTGAACACAATTTAAATACGTCACGAAGCCATTAACTGGACTTCGGCGCAAAGCCGCAGCAAAGCTAATTCTGTCCTTCCCTGCACCCTTTCCTTTCTCATTGGGGTTGGAACACAAACGAGGACCACTTCAGGACACGATGGTGTTGGCATGAACGTGACTCAATGCTGACAATGGAGACCCTGCTTTTCCAAGAGACTTTCCACTCCCCAATTCATGCCGTAGTTGCAAACAAAAGAGAAAAGTGAGGGCCTAATTAGCATGCTTTAGCAGCCTGAAAAAAATTTTTTTTTGCAGTGCTAAAAAAAAAAAAAAGAAAAGAAAAAAGAATGAAAAGGAACCCAAGTGCCAAGATAACATTTCTTTAGTTTTCCCCTACATTTCCCCTCTGCGGGGTTCACAGGGCTGAGCAGGACCTCCTGCACGCAGTCCCTGCAGCTCTGAACCTAGTGCCATCGAAGAGAGCTCCCTGCTCGGGTGCAGGCCGCCAGTATCACTAGACGGTCAAGAACAATCAAGTAGCGTGTTCCTCCCAGGTGTGTGGGCTCCTGAGCTGTGGCCGGGACGTATTGTTAGGATTCTCTCCCCTCTTCCCCTCCATCCTCTGTAGGGATGGAGGAGCTGTTGGTCATATGCAACCATATCTGACCACTGTGCCCATTTTCTTCCAATTTATAACCAATGGCATTTCTACGTGTGGATCGTTGGCATTTGGACTACGGTAGTTCAAAAGCCTGCTTTTGAAAAAACGCCCCCCCTCCCCCCACAAATGATGCTACTTATCTTCAACATCAACACGGGTCATTGTTTTTAGTTTGTCCTAACAGGATACATAGTAGCGACAGGAAATTGCTAGCTCCGGCAGAAACTTGTGGGAATCTTCAAGCTACATATATAAATCCCTGAATTGTGGTTTTTTTTTTTTTCTCTATTTTTCAAAAATCTGTCACCAAAATAAAGATCTATGTGCTTCACACTAGTTATATTTACAAATAGTGTCTGTCACTCAGGTCTTAATTCAATGACTTCCCTCAAGCTTAGTGGATGCTCATGTATGCTATGTGTCATGGACACGAACGACAGCTGGTTTGACACCATACAGCTCACACAAAAAAAGCTCCCTATGAGAGCTATGTGACTAACTGGATATGGGAATATAAGTACCACTCAACGTTTTTCCTGTTTGCAAAAAAAAAAAACAAAACAAAACACTCTTAGCAGGTTGGGCGGGTAGGAGAGACCATTTTATACTGTCTCAAAAGTTTCTGTTTGTTTGTACATGACCGGGGCAAACATTTCTGTGGATTCCTTACTCTCAATGCTTTGTGACCCACAGCGAAGGATCCTGCAGGAACGGAGGCGGTGGCACCAATAACCCTACGGGTATCCAGCTTTGCAGCAAGGGTCTGCTTAGGTGAGCTACGCCTGGGGATGACATTCAACAAAAGCACCGCACGGCTAATGTTAATGGCCCGGATAGTCCTATCCAGGAATGCTGACTTCCTCCTCCACTCTACAGAAGAAGTAGCTTCTGCTTCTTCCCCACACTCAGACAGAACTTGGGCTCAGCTCCTGGGGTGTCAAAGGCCTCCACATGAGCTTCAGGCACCACGGAGGACAAAGGACTTGATGTAGCGGAGTTGGTAATCCAGGCCAACAAGCAAGTGGGAAGGGCCACGGCAGAGGCGACAGGACCAGCTTGGCTTCTCTGTGGATCTTGCTAACTGGTGAAAGGAACCACATCCCCTTGGTTGTCAAACACAAAATGTGGCGGAGGTACGAAGGTCTCTGGCAAGGACTAGCGGGCTGGATACTGTATTTCTGATACATTTACTTTGACATTCTTTTGAGGAATACATGGAGAAACTGACAAGTTGGTCATTAGTTTACATGTTCCCTTGTTCTCATGACATTAAACGTATCTATCTGTAAGGAGGGTTTGCTTAGCATCCCCGGAAAAAAAAAATGTTCACATTCTTTAGGTCTGACCCGTGGTAAGGAAAGGGAGGGTTAGAGAATCGACTACTGACCATACGGAAGTCTTGAATGATAGAAATCCAGAGATTCAGACCAGCTGAATCGAAATTAAAATGTACATATAAAAAATGAGTTAGATAATGGGCAGGAAGAGAGGAACACAGAGAGAGAGACAGACAGACAGACAGTGAGAGAGACAGAGCGCCAGAAGAGTGGGGGAGTCACACTGAGGTGGGGCAGGCTTTCAGACCAGCATGTGGCGTTTCCTATGGAGGGCAAGATGGTCGGAGCGGGAGAAGCTTCGGTCACAGTCTGGACACTGGAAGGGTTTGATTCCAGTGTGTTTGCGGAAATGTCTTGTGAGTTCATCAGACCGAGCGAACTTCCATGTGCAGCCTTCCCAGGTGCATTTGTAGGGCTTTTCTCCTGCGAGGAAGGGAGAGGGAGTTTCACTCAACTGTCTTCTGTGGGTGTTAAAAAGAGAAGCTAAGATTTTTGAACTAACACCCTTGGAAAAACGCAACTTTCGAGATAAAGCCATACACGTGACTCTCTCTCCATTAGAAAAAAAAAAGACAAAGAATCGGGGTAGGATTTTAAAGAGTTCTTAGGGCAGGAAGAGCCACTCCGAGGGGCCAGTACGGAGCAGAATTCTGCATCTTTAGGTCTCCAAGCCTTAAACTTAAATGGTCCACGGTCCCGTGTACTTCGTAATTCCAGTGAAAACTTGTGAGTTTTTCTTATGCTTTTCCATAGTTTTCGGAAATTATAAAGTCCCTATCAACCAAAATACCTGCTAAAGAACGCAACAACCCACTTTCTTATTTAGTCCCTGACAGTGCCTCAAGCCCCTATGTACTGAAACCGGAAGTGTCCTCTGCCTTCTACACCCCTTCCGGTAGGCTACCCAGCACTCACAGGAAGGCCCTTGGGGGAAAAGGCTAGCAAGAGCCAGTAGGAAGACCCTCACAGATGAGCAGTGCTTACTGGCGATCTTACTGTATTAAAGTCAGTAACACAAGTTGGCCACCCCTAGCACGAAATTTCAGACCGCTCTAAAACAGCGGTTCTCAACCTGTGGGTCACAGCCCTTTCTGGGGTCACCTAAGACCCTTAGCAGACACAGATATTTACACCACGACTCGTAGCAGGGCCAACGCTACAGTTATGAAGTAGCAGCGAGGATAATGTTATGGTCGGGGTGAGCACAACACGAGGCGCTGTGTTACAGGGTCGCCGCCTCAGGAACGTTGAGAACCACTGCTCCAACCTGAAACCACTGTTACCTTCAGGCTGTGTGTGGAGTAGGGGGACACCCAGTCTCCAGCAGGGAACAAACTAGTCCCTGTTTAGTGACCCTCGTCCCGAGAATCCCTGGTGTAAGTGTTGGGATTTTTGGCTGTATTTTGCTACTCAGCCCCCACACACCTACGTCTGATTCCAAAGACTCGGTACCATTTTAATTTTAGGCGGGAAGACGTGGAGCTCCACCCTTCAGGTCCCATCCACGCCTCGCAGATGATTTCTGTGCTAACCGGTCACTGCTGTTCAGGAGCCCCCCTCATACAGCTTCCTCTGCCTCCTCCTCCTCGTCAGGACTCACCAAAAACCACTGCTGTTTTTCTGTCCTGAACCCCAGATTCCTCTCTGTGAATATTCCCTGATAAGAACAACCCACTAGACTCAGAAAAAACTACATTCTGAGCTCCACACAAAGGTCACAGAGCAATCACTGTTGGGTTGTACTGTCCACTGAAGGCCCGAGCCAAGAGCAGGCTGACGAGACAAATGAGTAATAATAATAATAATAATAATAATAATAATAATAATAATAATAATAATGTAAAAACCTTATAGTCTCAGAGCGATTGGAATGTCAGATTTTCATATTGGGCAGTCAAGCTCTGCCACGCTCTGAAGGCCAGAGGAGCCGTCTTTAACCATGCACACCGTGAGACGCTGATGCTTCCCCTACCTGTATGAGTTCTTCTGTGTGCTTTCAAGTGCGAGCTCTTAGTGTAGACTTTGTTGCACCCGTCATAGTCACATCTGTGTATCCTCCGCTTCCTTTGGGTATCCGGGGATTCCACAGGTAGAGGTCTCTTCCCAGGCTGCACTATCACCGACGGATGGTTCCTATCAAGGTCAAGGTTAAATGCAAAACATTGAGCGAAGGGGGCTTTCTTTTCTTCAGTCTACTAAAAAATAAAAAAGCATGTACGACATCGGGCAAAAAACAAACGAAAACCCCCAACAAAATAAAAAAATAAGAATAATAACAACAAAAAAAAAGAATTAGCTGTTCAACCCAAGAAGCACTGCTATATTCATTCAACAAACATGTAGCGAGCACCTACCATGAGCCAGGCACTGTGCTTGGCACCGGGGCACAAAGATGAATAAAAACAGGGTTCCTGCCCTCGAGGAGCTCACACTCTAGGGGGAGACAGACATGGAGATAAGTAACGACAGCAAGAAGGTTAGGTGCTACTCGAGGGAGGTGCCCGGTGCGGGAGAGGCTCGCAGCGGCCGCTGTTTGTAGACGGTGTTCCTGCTCAGCACGGCACCGGGTTTCCCACAGGCTACCTGACTGGCATTTTTCTCCAAGGAAAAATGTCAACCATCAAATCAAATCCCTGCTTCTTATGCCAACACGCTGCCGGACAGATCTATGTCCTCGCCTTTCTCTTCCTGTCTTTCCATGATGGCTGACTCACGTTTAATGTTCAAAAGCTGGCCCTTTCAAAGGTCTTCAGTGCTATGGTGGTTCCTGCGTGATGGAGGCCCTAGCCATCATTAGTGAGGTGGGGATGGGACATCTCATGCCCTCCGTATCTCAACCTTTCTCATACTTGTCCAAGAGATCTTGTGCCATACCTGCTCACCATGCCAGAAAGAGAGCAGGGGCAGATGGGAAAAAAAGTGTGCGCGTGGTTTTCCCCAACCCTTTCCTGCAGACTGACACTTGGCCATTCACTTTCTCCTGGGCAGTCACGTGACTGAAGTTAAGCCTATGCAGTTGGCCTCTAACTGTGAGGAAAGGCACGACTCTTCAATTGGAATTTCTGGGTCCTAAAACGTTCTAAATGATGCATGAACGATTTCTGTGTGGGAGTGGATTAAAACAAAAAAGAGTAAAGGGTAAAAGAACTTGATATGGACATTTCTCGAGTTTCTGAAATTAACATAAATGAAATGTTGGCTATTAAGGGCATTAAGGAGTGTCTGCAATAATATTTTTGAGGCTCAAAAAATTTGAGCACTTTTTTTTTTTTTTGGCTTGAGGTGTGTTAGGAGGAGCCTAGCAAACAGTAAAAAGGTGGGTCCATTTTCCGTGGCCTTCCTTCCTTCTATCGGTACTTTATACCTTACTCTGATGCCTGGGAGCATCCAACAGAGAATACGGTTGATTTGGGAGAGCCCATGTCAAGGGGCTTTAGAAATCTTGCCCAACAGCCGGGGTCTGTGGGTTGAGAACCTAAGTCATTCAACACGGTCATTACGACCGCTTTCCCCCGTGTCACTAAATTGTCGCTGTACCCCAATTTCCTCTGAGAAATGGGGGTGTGAACCCTGCCAACTAGAAAGACTACTGCTGGTGAGCACAGTGTGGGAAAGCCGCTGTCAGTGACTGCTGGGGGAACCACAGGACAGCATCTGTGACTAACGGGAGCCAGCCGCTGGAGCTGTGTTCAGAAGTCCCCTGCCCCTTTGCACCTCACGGCTGCCGGCCTTCACGTGGAGCTCTCTGGATGTGGCAAAGCCACCAAGGAATATCAAGCTAGCGTCTATTGGAAAAGGCGGCAGCATGGTGGTACTGGCTGGGAGATTAAGGGTCTTGGGAATCTCATACTCTTCGGCTTTTCCACTCCTCATTTTTTAAAGAGATCATGTGGGATCACACAACCATAGAATAGCAGCTACCACATACCAGATATCTGCTTTGAGTTAAACTGGCCCTTCCTTGGTTTACGTCCCCATGCTCACCCTTCCCTGTTTTCTGCTCTAAATGCAGCTTCACAAAGGTAAATACAGATGGACTGGATTTCTCGACATGCCTTTGAGTGCATTTAGAAAGGACCCTACAGCTGTAATGGGTTTCCAAGCTGTGAAGCCCGTGCCTTGGCAGTGGGGTTTCTAGGCCAGTGTTGCTGGGTGCCAGTCCACTGTTCTAGGCACCTGGCTTCAAAGGATTCTTTCCTGGCTAATGTGTCCTGTGTAGGCTGCTACCAGGCCCACTCCAAGACATTACTTAACCCCATCTGCGAAAGAATTACCCAGAGCGCTTGTTCCGTTGCGGCTAATCTACACACTTTTTTTTTTTTTTTTAGGATTAGGACAGCATTAAATAAGCAATTATTCGTGAAGCATTTAAAAGCATCTAGCAGTGAGATCACTAAAGGAATATTACTTGAAACAGGAAAGAAAAAAAATACACATGTATTTTGTTTGTTTGTTTTTCCGAGATAGGGTTTCTCTGTGTAGCTTTGGAGCCTATCCTGGAACTCACTCTGTAGTCGAGGCTGGCCTCGAACTCCAGAGATCCACCTGTCTCTGCCTCCCTGAGTGCTGGGATTAAAGACAGGCGCCACCACTGCCTGGCCCCATGTATTTTTTGAGACCAGGTCTCACGTAACCCAGGCTGACTTAAATGCTTGCTCTTCCTGCTTCTTCCTCCCTAATGCTGGGATCACGGGGATGTGCTACCACACCTCGCTGGAAACAGCATTTTCGTTTAAGCAGTATTTATAAAGAATGGGATACTGCTTTCAAATACTCTTTTGCAAGGTCTCACGGTTTAATTTGTAACTTAAGAACTCCAGCCAACCCTTTGCCACCAGTCAGCTTCAGATAGGACGGCAGGGGGCACAGCCAGACAGGCACAGCCACTCAAAGCAGGGCCCCGGGGTCAAGGACGGGACTGTGGGTGTAGCCTAAGTAGCGGCCTGGCTCACCAGTGCTCCATTTGCTCTTCATAAGAGTTCCCTTGAAAGACTTACGAGGTGGGCACAATGGCGTGTGCCTGTAACCCTGGCACTCAGGAGGCTGAGGCAGGCGAGCCATTGAATGAGATCAGCCTGGGCTACACACCCAGACCTCATCTTTAAAAACAGACAAAAACATCCTACAACTGAATTTTTGAAGGGAGGCACTACGCGACTGTGGAAAACAGAAAGCACAGGCTTCCGGGATACTTCCTTTGCCTGGTGCCGCGGCTGGGGAGAGGAGTCGCCCTTTGTCATCCATGAGGGACTGTCGACGCCAGCATCCCTATACCACTACCTCAATATCCCTGTCTCAGTGTGGAGGGAAGTTCACACGGGAGCCAAAGGTGGGCATGACTGCAGGAGATCTGACGGTCACCAGAAACTGCTGCTGTCAAGCCAGAACTCATCCTCGACTGTGGAGTCATGTGACAAGACTGTGGAGGCACGTGACAAGAGGAGGGCAGAAGACAGACAGGAAAGGTGGGCAAAACATTTACTGAAGCCAGAGAAAAGACGTGGGAGAAGGATGATGGGGGGGAGAGGGGCGCGACCCTGAAGGGACAGTGGCTGGCTGTTGAGGCTGACCCAACGCAGAAGCGATATAGCACCGAGAGGGTACAGGAGTAGTCCCAATAAAAAAAGCAGAGGATGTGGGTAGGGAGCATTGGCTCAGCCTGTGGTCCCCCACACGCTGGAGCACCAGGGGTCAAAGGCCACCTTCTCAGAGACTGCTCACCCCCGTGGTCAAACCATGACTGCTGTCACTTAACCACGGATGGGGGTATTATCATCCTACCCAAGCACATGTTCAGATGCTGGTCAAGGCAGACAGACATCTTACTGGCCGGTAGCTCTGCAAGGGAGGAGAGGTTCCGTGGGCAGCTATGACTCAAAACACAGCGCCCAAGATCTCTTTCAGCACCGAGCTTCTCCGAGCTGCACAGAAACCTTCTGTGGCCAACCCTGCTGCTGGCCCGAGGATTTTAATAAAAGACGTTTTCACTAACAGACACACTAAACCGTATTTGAAGTGACGACTGTGGGGGGGCGGGGGCGGATTCTGTTCGACACATGGAAACTTTCTGGGATTCAAGCTGATGGGAACATCCAATCCAGTCTTCATGAGAACACTGTATACGTGTATCCCAGACCGATGGAAAAAGAAAAAAAGGTTCCCGTGGTCCCCTTGGGGGACCCGTTTGCTGAAGTGGAACTGCTGCAGGCGTGGCTGGTGTTGCTCTTGGAGACTGTCTCGACCACCGTCACCGAGGCACCACCCCGTGACACCACACAACACAGGATGTCCCCGGTCATCCACAGCACATCACATGTTTGCAATGCCACGCTCCTCCACTCCAGGTCCCCAGGTGCATGGCACTATTCAAACACCGGGCGCACCTAAGGATACTTACTCTTGCAACAGTGCTTGTGGGGGGGACACTGAGTTCATTAAAGGGGGTGACATTTCTTCAGGGTAATAGTCTGTCCTCTGTGGTTCAATCCCAGGCTCTATTTTGATTTTTTTCTGTAATATGGGCTTCTCATAGGATTCAATTACAGGTACTAAAAAATAAAGAGAGAGAGAGAGAGAAATCATTCTCTATATAATGTATCAATTTCACCTTATAAAGTTCACTGCCCCGCTTCTAGCTACTTCTCCCACGTATGCGTATTTCTTCTCCAGCGAGGGTTAGAGCAGGACTCAGTTTGCGAGGGATCCTCACTCCTTTTGAAGCAGAGAGAGGGCCCTGCGCTTCAAGATGACCCTTCATTACAAAGTCTGGCTAGCCTCACGGTCCCCAGTCTATGGCTGGCAAACAGGGGCCTTTGAAGAGCCATGAGCAGCATGATCAGAAAGTACTCAAGTCCCTGTCGTGCCCAGGACCATGCTGGCACTCAGTAAACCAAAGCATAAACGATACCGCGACTGTAACTAATTACTGGACATCCTCCCAATATCAACACTGCAGAACAAAAACAGAAAGAATTGCTGGGGGGCAGGGGGGCAGCCCAGGCCGTCCTCGTGAGGATGTTAAGCTCTGCGTGGTGGCCTCACCAGACTCCTGGGGGAAGACGCGGTCCACCAGGCAGGCACCTGCCTGGGTGTAGGGGGCACGGGAGACTTTACCTTGCATGCTGCTGTTGGAGCTGTCCATCTCTTCCGACAGGGAGACCATGAGCGGCTGCTGGAGGTGGCTGGCGTACATAAACGGGACGGGCTGCACCACCACGGGCTGGATGACAGGGAGGATGCCGGGGCTCCGGATGCCGTGTCTGGACAGCGCGGCGGCCATCACTGGCGGCATGGACAACGGTACGAAGGGCTGCACTCCGGGGGAAGGGGGCGAGTATTTCTTAATGGGCGGGCTGGAGGGCGGCATGCTCAGCACAGGGGAGGCTCTCCGGTGGGATGGGAACTTGAGGGAGGAGGGAGAGCTGCCAGCAGAGGGCGGCGAGCCCCGCTTGTTCACAGTGAGGTCCACCGGCTCCATCTGTATCCCGTGAGTAAGGCCTTCTGGGGTCTGGAAGAACTTGTCAGGTAACGGTGTGGAGTAAATGACCCCAAATTTGTTGGGCTTCATCGACTCTATGTAATTCGCTGGGTAGGACTATCCGAAGCGAGAGAAAAAAAAAAAAAAAGAGGAAAAGTGTAAAGAGACATACTTTAGATCGAGAGACGAATGACCCCCCCTGAAAAGCCACGGGGGACGGTTCAGCCAAGGCTAGAAATTAAGGTTATTGGGCCCCAGGGGAAAAATGAATGCTATGGTTTTCACATCATGTGAAGGCTGATACCTACCCTGGCTGCATTCTAAAGTGGTCTGCGTCACCAAAGGCCTGTGGCCTTCATTAGGAGTCAGCACTGATACCACCAAGAACAGGCCAAACTATACAACCCACTGCTTTTTTGACGTTCTTTCTTTTCTTTGCCTTTTTTTTTTTTTTTTTTTTTTTTGCCTTTTTTTTTTTTTTTTTTTTTGAGACAGGGATACTGTGTATCCCTGGCTAGCCTGGAACTCACCATGTAGACTAGGTTGGCCTCAAAGTCAAGAGATCTGCTTGCCTCTGCCTTATCGGTGCTGGGATTAAAGGTGCACACCACCACACCATTCATCCTGAGCTTCTCTGGCTGGGGCCTTGACTGGGATTATCCTTGGGATCATGCTCTTTCTTCACTGGGCCCAGACAGGCTGAATCTCTGCCTGTCTATGAACTGCAATTGTTTGCTCTTATCAAAGTGCCATTCTGGACCCAGGGCCAGTCAAAGCACCCAGGAAGAGGGGAACCAGGCAAGGAGACTTTTAATCACCTGTCTTTACCGGGTTCTGGTGCCACCTTTTTTTCCTCCTAACCTTTAAAGAGATGTTTATTATTACCACTATTCTGAATTATGTGCAGGTATGTGTATCTACATGGAGGTGTGTGCACGTGAGTCCAAATGCCCTAGGGACTCACTCCATGCTTGAGACATGGAGTATCTGAGAGCCGCATTGGAGACGGCTGTGAGCCACCCGACAGGCATGCCGCACTGGGGTCTTCCCGAAGAGCAGCAGCAAGTAGTGCTCTCCACCACTGAGCCGCCGCCTCGCCATCCCTGGATGTCACTTTCGGAACTTTATGACCACATGCTGCTGCTCCCTTCTGCTCCTCTTTACCTCGCTCAGTGTCACCTGTGTGACCCAGTGACTTCCACGGCCCCTGCGGGAACTCACCTTCTTTGGCAAAGCCCCAAATTACAGCGATAGACAGTGAAAGATCTGCTGGACGAGGAGGAAAAACTACCAGTACTGTGCAGAGTGTGCGAAGGAATAAAACCAGAAGTTCGGGACACAAGGTTTTGGCATCAGCTCTCACAGAGGGGCGGAGGGTTGAGTAACGACAATCCGTACATTCCTCCCTCTTCTTATTTAAAAACTGTCTTTTGTTTGTTTTTTTAGGCTCTAACTCTATAGCCCAGGCTGGCTTTGTACTTGGAGCAATCCTCCTGACTCTACCTCTTAAGTGTTGGTCTGTACCAGCCCACACAGCTTTCCTTCTTTCTTTAGAACTGGCCCTACCCAGGTATAACACAAGAAAAGAGGTCCAAATTATACAGCAACGTAAACATTAATGAGCATATTTAAATTTAATTAAAATAGGTGGTATTAAAAGAAGCCCAGAGCTCACTTAAGAAATTAAGACACTATGCACAAAGAGGATCTCAGGAATTAAGGAGTTTCATACACTTTATTTAATTTTCCAAAGGACACAGTTCTGGTGGGAGGCAAATCTTCATGAAGCGGAGGGCAGCCACGGGCCTCTTCACACAGTGAAGCATCTTCCTGATCTTCAGCCCGGCTCTTCCCAGATCTCGAAGTGACCTAGATTTGCAGGCCCATAGTTGCTGGCGGCTGAGCAGGGCGCAGAATGAGGGCACACTTTCCAACGTTGTCACAACTGGATTTTCTATCCGTGGCATGAATTTAAGACAAGTGGGAATTCAAGACAGAACCGGGGGGATTTGCAAATTTAATAATATCCTCAGGGTTCCCAAAGACGGCAAGGAAGAAAAAGCCACCCATCAGGCTGAGTTTGATACACACTTTGCATTTTTATTCACACTTAACACAAATGAACGTCCCTGACCTCTGTATACTGCCTGCATGTCTACTTTAAAGTTCCTGGATAAGTGCAGGGATGTACTTGTGGACACTCAACTCTGAGTACATAATTAACTATTTCCAGTTCAACTGCCTCACAAAAGATTGAAGAACTGTGGTCCTTTCAACTGGCTCACTGGCAAGTTCTAGAATCTTCCCTACTTAGGCACGCAGCCTAACTGCAGTGGCGGACACCCATTTGGCACGCACAGTGTAAAAACGGATGCACATTAGGTGTGACTTGGGATGGGAACCACACTAAGCGAAACAGAAAAGTCTTCTCTGGCCACTGGCAGGCATGAATGGAACCCCAATGTCCTCCTATCCCGTCTTCAGCAACATAGCTATTCAAAGACGAGACACAGATGAGGGTCTGTGTCTACCAGCTCCACCCCCAGCCCTAGGTTCTTTTCTTCCGTGGAACTGTCCATCGGGGTGGCCACGCCTCTGCTGCATGTGTGTATTTGCTGACTGTTGCCTGTCTCTGGAATGCGAGGCAGGGGCTTCATAAGCACTCCAAGTCTGGATGTCTGGGATGAGTTCCTCGGCTCTCGGAAGCTCTTCACTCCTATCGAGGCTCAGAATAATGCCGATCCTTCTGATTCTTGAAGACAGGGGGCTGGGGAGGTGGGGGGAGGTGGGCAGAGGCTTGGCCACTCTCCCAGGGGCCTTACTATTACTTTATACAGCGAGAATTTCCAGTTTCATATTTTCTTAGGAACAGCTTCGGAGAGGTCTCTTTACAGGACAGTCAGTGGGTGGGACAAGTGACAGGAACAGGAAGTCTCTACTGCGGATGACCATGAAAACAAGGAGCACCTGTGACAGGGCCAGGCCGGAGTCCTCAGACCACAGGTGGGGCTCTGGGCACAGGAAGGCGGAAGGCGGGGCGCACTCATAAACACTTGCTCTGGGCTCAGCAAATGTTCTGAGGCGAACAGAAAGGCGGCTTTCTGTCCACCCAGTCCAGGAAAACCACCAAGGGCGGCAATCGGGACAGAGCTCGGGAAATGACTGGTTTTTAAGGACCTCTCACAGAACAAGGAGTCTGCTGGGTGACAAGAATCACCAGAAAAGGAAAAGAGGACTTCAGGGGGAAGTTAGAGGAAGGTTCAAAAGTATTTTTAAATTTTCTCTTCAGCTTATTTTCTTTCCGACGGCCTGAATCAGAGACTCTGGTTTTCACCTTTCCCATTAGTCCTTTCTATCGTGTGCACAGACTTTAACAGGGTTTAGATTTCAGTAGAAGAAAAACGCTATTTCCTCACTTTCTCTAAACTATGACAAAAATAACAAAGAATAGGAGGGCTCTGGTCAGGATTTTCTTTAAAAAAAAGAGAAAGGTGGTGGTGGGAAGTGATGACTATGGACAGACATATGGACAGACACAACAGCATTGTTATGCTTTTTCTTAGGATTAAAAAAAAAAAATCTGGAGGCTGGAGAGGTGGCCCAGTGGTTAACAGCACTTGCAGAGGACCTGGGTTTGGTTCCCGGCACCCACGTGGCAGCTCACAACTGTCTTGACTGGAGTTCCCGGGGACTAATGTCCTTCTGGCCTCCTCAGACACTGCATGCACTCACACATATGTGTAGGCAAAATACCAATATACAGGATAAAAATTTCTCTGTAGGCATAGTGGGACATGCCTACAATCTGAGTACTCAGAAGGCTGAGGCAGGAGGATTGCCATGAGTCCAGGCCAGTATGGGCTACACAGCAAGACTCCATCTCAAAGGAAACAACACCAACCTTACAAATGTCCAATGCTGCTCTAACACGTGCCTTTTTGGTTCCTCTGCCTCTCCCTACGAAGGTGGGGGAGACGGAACCGACCTGAGCACAAACTGGAACCCTCTGTACTCCTTCATGGTAAGGACTGAATTAGCTTCTGGAGACAGAACGAAATGCACTCTGTGTCAGGTGAAGCTGACCACTTGCACACCAAGGAGGAAAAAGTCACTAATTAGAAAAACACTTTTACACTTCACCTTTATACGTGTGCTTTGTTGTTCTGTGAACTTGACACGAGATCAGGGTACCTGGGAAGAGAGACCTCAACGGAGAAAAAACGTCTCCTGGAGACTGACCCGTAGGCAAGTCTGTGGGACCTTTTCTTGATTAAATGATTGATGTGAGAGGGCCCAGCCCACTGCGGGAGCTGTGGGCGGTGTTATCCTCCCGCACGGGGTCCTCGGTTGTATCAGAAGGGTAGCCCTCCAAGGTCTCTGCTTCAGGATCCTGCCCTGATTGTCCCTCAGTGATGGGTGTGGCCGGGCGGGACCTGAGAAACCTTCCGACCACACTGCCCCCTTTGCTTTGGATCACGGCGTTCATCACAGCGATAGAAAGCAAACTGACAGAAATGACTGCATTCTAACACATAAAAAGATAAAGAGTCACCTCATCCCCTCCCTCCACAGCTAAGCTGCATTTTCCTTGCACCTGGTTATCTCAATTTGGTAATGTGGGTCTTCCCGTTAGCTGCAACTGGGCTCTCGTGAGCCATATTTTCATGCTTGATTAAGAATGCTGGATGTACACACCAGTCAAATGTACCAACGATGGCCATGCACCATTGATAAACATTATATTCCCCAGTTACAGACTGGAGAAATGTGTCTATCTTTTAACGTTCATTTTCCTGGAAGATGATCATTGCAACAGCTGAGGAAAAGGGGCAGGAAAAGGGGCAGGAAAAGGGGCAGGAAAAGGGGCAGGAAAAGGGGCAGGAAAAGGGGCAGGAAAAGGGGCAGGAGACGGCAGTGCAGAGACACTGTGGGAGAAAAGTCTGTTTCTTTGGTGACTATAAGTGTAACTGTTCAATTATTCCACTTAAGTATGTGATAACTGCGTTATCCAGCCACTGTGCTGGAATGTAAATGCTGTCTCCTCAAAGATGCTCTCACTTCACTTTTCATTATGGACACGTGTGGAGAAATCCTTCACCGGCTTAGCAGTATCCATGGCAACTGAGTTCCAGGCTCCTTAGAGTGACCCCGTGTCATGTATAAGTATTTCTGGCAGGAACCTCCAACAGCCAGTGCAGAAGGATGATCTAATTCTGCAAGCCTGTCGTCCCCAGCCTTCAGATACACATCCAGGCCAAGATTTTTTTCCCCCTTGTGAAGATTTTCCAATCCCATGGAAGAAAAGAGCAAGACAGACTGGGAGTGTTGCCTGTTAGTCAGTACCGGCTAAACCACATCCTCAAGTCTAAACTACTCCTGCTTCGAAAAGTCGGCAGGCACCTCTCTGTCTGTCACCCACGTCTCATCTCCAGGGACTAGGACTGGACCTACACAAACACCTGGACTGACTCTTAGTGCCCTGGTGGCCTAGCAGCACCATGGCCTGGCTCACAACAGGGGGACAGCTTAGCCCTGAGGCTTACAGAAGGACCATGGATGTAATTCCCACCCAGCCACAAACTATTCCAAATGTAGTAAGATTCTGGCCTCGTTGCCAAGTCCCTTCTCTGGCCGGCTTCTCCTCAGTCATCCCTGATAGAGCCACAGCTCCATATGGCTTCTGTCAATGCTTTTTTCTTAAATTACTTTATTCTCGACGTATTTTACACACACATTTGTGAACTCACTTTCATTGTGAAAAGTTCGGCCTGTGGCTGACCCTATCTAGGGGTGTGGGGAATGGGTCCTAAGGATGGATAGTGGCACCTCGTTTATTACTGGAGGCTTTGAGAAATGCCTCCTGTCAAATGCCTGTCAAACAAGGAGCACATGTTAGGAAACAACACAACACATAACGTTATCAGTGAAGAGAGCTGTTCGGTCTTGGGAAACTCACCACAGAGACAGGGTCCATGGCCTCCTGCTTGACAGGGACTGGGTCAAACATGAGCATTCTTTTAGTTAAGCCTTCTAGGGTGTTCTGATGTTTGGCCTGGAAAACAAAACAAAAAGCCTAGTCTTAATACCAAGGTCACATAATCTGAGAAAAATAAAAAACAGCCCTTTTTACCCTTTTTTCTCCACTCTATCTTCTCCTCACCCACGGAATGGCTAGAATTGTTTGCCTTACCTACTACCAAAGATGCCCTTTCATATAATTAAAACCAGGCCTCACGGGCAGGACTAAATGAAGCAGCATTTCTTACTCAACTATACAAACCCTGACATTTCTGGAACAATATGTACAGCCTCTTCTGGCAGGAACCTAGGTTGGCATTGCTGGGCAGCTCAGCAGAAGATCCACCCCACCCCCATGCTCATCACAGAAAAAAAAACAGGGAGAACGAAACCGAGAAGCAACCAGCACAGATACCTGTGTTAACCCTCCAGACCCTCTGAAGTGGGAATGTCGTACACGCACTGTTAAGTACCTTTACGGTCACTTAAGACTTTATTGAAAATGTTTCTTTGTTGTAATGAGTACGGACTCAAACCATCAAACTCACCATGCACGTGAGCAGATCAGTTTAAACTGTCACCTTTCATTAGACGCAAGGGCCAAGGGCCCATGAGATAGCCTGGTGGGCAAACATGTCTGCTGCTAAAGCCCGATGACCACAGTTCGGTCCCCAGGACCTGCACGAAGCAGGAGCAAGCAGCCCTCTGAACAGGCACACACACAAAGAAAGGAGGAAATAATAAAGACACTGTTGGGGGGGGGGGAGAACAAGGGAATCCGTGGCTGATATGTATTAAATTAAATTATAATTATAAAATTAAATTAAATTATAAAATTAAAAAAACAATTGCTGGACCCTGGGTTTCCAAATGTTCACCACTACAGACAGCATTGACATTCTCTGCACTCGTATCCCACGCGGTCTAATTCTTACGACAAATTTTCCAAAAGAGAACCCTTTGATTCCATTTTGATGGCCCTCAAATGATAAATCATTTATTTTGAGCTAACCATTACTGAGGCTGAACCTTTTTCATTTTAATGCGCCATTTACATTTCTTTGAGAAAAGTCTACTCGGATCTTGAGACATACCGCCCTACACCCACACCCACTCACGGTTTCCTAGATCAGCGTGCTCTTACTCTAATGTAAAGGCAAGGCCTACCTTGGGCCTGTCCTGTCCTGCTCTGTAAGCACAATCTGCTGCACAGAGCCACTGCCCAGCTGCTACGGACTTCACCCAGCTGCATCGGGCCCTCACCCATCCCAACTTGGGTTACACGCGTAACGCTTTGATTTGAGGCAAGGTCATTCAAGGTCACACGTCACCCAGGTTCAGGTGGCAAAGCGAGTTAAGTTTCTCCTGAGAAACATGGCACGCCTGTGACCTCAAGCACTAGGAGAGACTGAGGGAAGAGGACTGCCCCAAGTTTGAGGCCAGCCTGGGCTACACAGCAAGACTGTCTCAAAAATGAAAAGCCCTACCAAGGCTGTAGAGAGGCTCAATGGTTAAGAATACACACCGCTTTTGCAGCAGCCTTGAGTTGGGTTCCTAGCACTCATCTTGGACGGCTCACACCCATCTCTAACTTCAGCCTTTGGGGACCCAATGCCCTCTCCGCGCCTCCACGGGCCTCTGCACTCACCAGCATGTACCCACACAGAGACACACAATTTGAAAATTTTAATTTAATTTAAAAGAAGTTCCAGGTTCTAGAGTTGTCTGTGCATCCGCTCCCTCGGTGTGGAGGATGTCCCTCCCATCCCCATGATCCCATGACTGCAGCGCCCAGAGTCTTGTGAGCATGTGTTCTAGAGTCTCTGCATCCCGTCCTTCAGTCTCTGCATCCTCTCCCTCAGTGTGGAGAATGTCACGGCCTCATGACTGCAGCGCCCAGAGTCTTGTGAGCATGTGTTCTAGAGTCTCTGCATCCTGTCCCTCAGTGTGGAGAATGTCCTGCCCCCACGGTCCCATGACCACAGTGCCCAGAGTCTCCTGCACAGGAGCTCCAGCAGTTACACACTGTCAGACAGAAGCATGAATGTGGTACCAGGTGGCTCCTGGCCTTCAGCACTTCAACGGAACCTCTTCTGATTTTCATGTAAATATCACCCATGGCCCTGACGTCACAATGAACTGCCCCACACCCTAGGAAGTATCATAATCTGCAAACACAATGTGACACCAGGTTGCTGAAACCCATGATGTCACCACCCTCTTAGGTATCCCAGCAAAAAACAAATGGGCAGCAAAAAATGGGTGATCTCATTAGGAAGAAAGCCTCTTTGTGTCTTAGGATCGAAAAACCAGCCCTAATCCAGCAGCTCTGCAGCTACACACACTCTCACACACACACCCTAAACCTTAGAGAAGGTGCAGCATCTCTTGGTGTTGCTAGAGACCAAAAAACTAGTTGACACCTCTGCTTACATTGATAAGGTCACAGTTCAGCAGCGTCCCACCAACACCTCAGCCCTTTAAATGGAATTCACTAGCACCATCTATCCCACAGGATGGTTATCTTGGCGCTCACATTCCTAGGTGTAGAAGGAGAGAGACCTGGCTTTGAGGCCTCAGACTTTTAGCCCCGAGGCAATACGTCTCATAAGCAGGATACAGACTACACTCCTTCTTCAAGTTTTAGGAGCCTTTTCCTCTAAATTACTCACTTCCACAGATGTGCACAGCGTTTTTGGATGTGTGATAGATACATACTAAACACACACGAAACTTAACTCCTTGACTTCAAACCCTGGAGCAATATATAAAGAAAAATGCCTGGAACCCTCAACTGTTAGTGAGAGCTTCTAGGGGGAGCCACATGTGGTGGTACACGCCTAGATCTCAGCACTTCGGAGGAAGGTGAGGCAAGAGAATGCCACAAGTTCAAGGCCAGTCTGGGCTCCTAAGAGAGTTGGGAGCAAGGGCTGGCTACGCTTACCCGTGTAATGTTGTTCAAGTTTATTGTTTCTATAGTTAAAAGTTTAAAGGGGACGGAGGACAGAAAGGATGGGAAGAAAACGGACTGTGTGAACACATCAGGCTGCCTGTTCAAAACAACTGCAGTGACTTCTCTGTACCAATCGCCTCGGCCACTGCTTTAGACTTCACGGGTTCTGGTGAAAGGATCAGGAAAGAGGCAGTGTAACTCTGGCAGGATGCTTGCCTTCTACCGAAAGGCCCTGGGTTCAATCCTTTAGACCTGAACTAAAGTTAATATTTAAATCATGAAAGAATGACCACGGTGCCACCAAAGCGCCTTCCAGCTAAGTAAAAATAAGCTAAGACCTGTAAGAATCGGGGTCTTTAACAGTGCTGTGCTCTGCAGGTATTACTGTCTCTTTTTTAAAAGCTCCTTTTTCCACTTTTCAGACAGGGTCTCACTATGTAGCCTTGGCTGACCTAGAGCTTACTAGTAAACCAGGCTGGCTTAGAATTCAGAGCTCCACACCTGCCTCTCTCTCCCAAGTACAGGAATGGCAGGTGCATACCACCACACCTCACTCATTTTCAAAAAGGGATTCTGAAACCACCATGTCTTGTAAAGCCTTTTGCAGCACTGGCAGCAATCCTAAACAGAACCAGTAGGTGGCGCACTAAAACAGGCATTGGAGCCTTAGGACGCTGGCAGAAGACAGGCGTGTGCCCGCCTCAGGGTCTTTAAAAATCTTGTGGGTTTTAACCAAGCTGAGGAATCCTATTAACCACTTTATGTGGGTATCGCAGAGATGAGGAGCCTCAAATGTGGTGGTTGTTGTTTTTCTGTTTTCCAACCAAACACACATTTACATCTTAGTTCTGTTTCCGCTCAACACTCAATCTGAATTAAGCAATGGCAAGATAAAACAGCAAAATCTACTTTTGTTTTTCAAAACTAAGTTACTGCGGCGCTTAAAAACCAACAAAATAAGAAAATCACTTTTGCCCAAATAACTTCCCATAATTGGAGCAACTGGGTGATTAGTCAGGGAAGGACCCGAAAAGCTGAATTTTCATTTGCAAGTGACATCCCTTCTGAACATCCCCCGACTCCAATTCTATTTTTGACTGCAAGGGTCAGATCGGATCAAGGGTCAGATTTCTGTCAACACACAAAACTGTAGAATTACATATGAGAAGCCTGGCGAATCCTTGAGGCGACTTCTAGAAACGACACAGCCAGTACAACTGCTTCAGAAGAGAAGGGATGGATGGGGGCGGGGAAATAAAGTCCACGACTTCTCAGCTTGTGGAGGACAAAGCGAGACTGGCCTGACACTCTCGTTTCTTCTTTTTATCCCCGTTCTTCGTCCGCGTTTCTTTCCTCGGGTCCTCAAAGGGTCCCTGTGTGACTAGCTCCCCAGCCCAGCCTGACCCTGAGGCTTGTCCCAATTACCGGCTTCCCTCCAAGAGAACCTCAGACAGGTGTGCAGAGAACAGAACCATCAGAGAACCAACCACCAGGCGATAACCAGCAAGGGCCCCTTCTGCTCTCCCAAGAGTGAGTTTTCAAACGAGGAAGTCTGTCAGTGCTCCCCACCCTCACTCTCCAAAGGACCCGAGGGGTAAAATCTCAGCTCTCTGTGTATCTTGGCCAGGAGGGCAAGTGTGTGGAGCTGAACTTCCTTTGGAAACCTTTCTTTACATTTCCTTAGCAAACTCTTTGAGCGCTCCCAGGGAGGAGAACTCTGGCGAGTACTCTGCAGTGGCCTGGCCAGAGACCCGGGAGCCGCCACCTAACTAAGCCAGAGGCTGGCCTTGAGTGCTGGCACCTACCTGGAAGGGTGTCCAGTTTTCACACCACCCAAGTCTCTTCACCCACCTCCGTCTTCTCCTGTCGATTTGAAAAGAGTCCCACGGAACAGTTCCAAAGCTTTGCCTCTCATAAATTATGTTTGCGGGTTATACCGTGTTTTGTAAAAGGGAGAGAAATGAATTATTTCGCTGCAGATGGAATATAATGCTCCAGAGAGCAAACAATCCGCCCTCCTCCTCGGCGAACAGGCCACCCAATTTTTTTTTTCTGCCTCCACCCATCTGCTCCACCCCATGGAGAGCTGCCAGGGCGAGTCCAACTTGTCCAAACAGGACATGGCTTCAGATAAGATTCTGCCCACACCCTGTACTTCGGAAAGACCGAGTGAAGCAATTGACTTTCCATGTAAGTGAGGACAGGTGCAAAGGTGACAAGCAGGAGGTCCCTCCACATTTCCACACCAGCCCCTTCCGACAGGGGGAGGGGCGGGGAGACCCAAGCCTACACTACCCTTCAGGTCAACTCTCAAGTTCACGGGCACCTGCTTGGTTGGTTCCACGTGTGTGTGCGTGTGTGTGTGTGTGTGTGTGTGTGTGTGTGTGTGTGTGTGTGTGTGTGTGTGTTCTCCTCCTTAATGCTCCCTGGCAATTCTGTGTTGTAGTTTTTAAGGGCAAGCAACCTAAGATAAATTGAAAAATACCCACAACGTCTAATCCTGCTGTGTACACAGCTCCAAAGACCTCGCCTAAGCCCTCCCAGCTCTCCTCTGTGAGGCGTTATATAATCAAACCCAGAAGGCCTGCTGTGAGGCCTCTCATCTGCCTGGCTCACTAGGAGGTACCCTCCCTATCGCTGGAGACCCACCTCACTCCACCCTGCTGGGCCTCCACCCGTGGAGCCCCACCCTGCAGGGAGTGGGAAGGCTGGAAGGGACCTGACTGGCTCCAGGCTGCAGCCAGTTCCTGGAAATTCCACCCTGAGCAAGGATGGCTAGGATCTTAAAAATAACCAGAAAGAACTGTTAGGGTGGTGTAGTTCCTGGTCCAGGAGTGAGTGTCCACCACGGAGTGACTGCACCTTCAGACACAAAACTGTGTGTGTATGTTGGGGGGGGCTACCCTCCCCGTCCACAGTAAACACAAACCAGAAATCGCTTGCAACCACTGCTGGGCAACATGGCTCCAGCCCAAACCCTCCTCCTCCTCCTCCTCCTCCCAGTCTCCTCTCTAAGAGGTTGCCCCTCCCTCCCTGCCTGCCTCCCTCCCTGCCTCCCTCCCTCCCTCCCATTTGCCTTATTTTCTGGTCTTTCGCCATGGAAACCTAAGGTCATCTGTGAAGCCTGCCCTACCCCTTTCCCCCTCCGCTTCCATCACTGCCATGGAGGCCAGGTCCTCACTCAGGCCTCCTGTGGAGTCCATGACCCAGTAAGGCAGCCCAGCTCCCTTACCACTCATCCCTACCTCTTCTGCTCCCTCCTCCAGGGGAGCCTGGGGCTGCCCGGGCGGGGCCATACTGCCCGTGCTTGTCACCAGCTCCCTAACCAGCCCCGGCTCTCCAAGTGGCCCTGCCTCCCCCACTCTCAAACCCCAGGCTTTTGTTCATTTTTGGCCCTGATGCTGGGCAACAGTGTGGAATGCCCCCTCCTCTTCCGGCTTATCTAAATCCTCCTAATTCTTCAAAGACCTGCTCAAGGCCCTCCCTATGTGGCCAGCTGACTGCTCCCTAGTACATCCAGGTTGGCCACCTCTTACCTAGACAGGCTGGGTGTGTCCTCCAGCACAGCCCAAAGGGTCCAGGCAGGTGCCTCCCCCACACCTTAGGAGGCTCCCTCCCAAGAGAGAGTGAAACAAACAAAGATGTTTCTTCCTATGCTAGGCCCAAGGAGCTAACAACAAAACAAGCAACCCCTCCCCCCAATAATAATAATAATTAATCACAAGCGACCAAGCCCTGAGTAGGACTTCCGCAGTCATCTCCTTGGGAGCACACTTGAAATGTTCCAAGGGTGAGGGAGGGAGGGCCGGAGGGCCCAGCCCTACAGGAAATAAACGATCAAAACTTCCTGAAGAAGTCACTGCCCCTCACCTTAGCCTTGCCTCTCCAGTCTCAGGAGGACCTTACCACTACTACCATCTCCAACTGTTTTTCCTATCCCCCATGGAGGCCTTTTGAATAAGTCTAGTGTCAAGGGCTCTGAAAAAATCTCAAACAGAACATAAGAGAGAAAAAGGAAGGGGAGGCAGCTAGAGGCGAAAGGGTTTGTGTAGGCCAGTCTTGATTTTCTGTAAGCGATACTTCTGCTCATATTCCCAGTTCTCAGGAGAAATCGTGGGACTGTTACAAATTTGAGCCCAACCTGGGCTACACTCAGAGTCCCCCGTCTCAAAAACAGAGAGGGCTACTTTTGTTGACCAATGAAAACAAAGGCTACCACGAGATGTGTCCGCCCCTGCTGGTCACCACCACCTGCATGACGAAGGTCCCGCTCTTTACTCATCCGGGTCATTTCGTGACTTGAGTGGGAACTGCCTTCTCATTTCACAGGTGAAAAAAACTTCAAGGGCGAGGTCTAAAAACCTGCCCAGTTCACACAGCTGGAGCCAGGATTCGAACTCACGTTCACTGACGGCGAGGCTGGCTGTGTGGCGCACCACTCAACTGCCAGCACAGAGAGGGCTGCAGGCTAACAGTGGGACAGTGACTTCGAAGAGACTGGCCCCTGGGGAAAACGGGACTCAGTGACAATCTTGCAGTAGCCGACAGGAATGATTTTAACCCCTTCCAACTGGCGCGCTGGCTGCCTGCACCCCCTCTTTCCAAGCGTATCTGGACACAAGATCAAAAGACATATTCTGAAGGTCCCGACGTAGGGTATTAGTCTTGCCAGCCTGTGCACCTGCGACTGGTCCATAAAGCTGCTGAGAAAAGTTGGCAGCTTCACCCAAGTAAATACGGAAATCCTCCCAGTAACTGTACAAAGGTGGAGGGGTCAGGTCTCCATCCCCATTTTAGAAATGAGGAACTAGAGGAAGAGGCGAAGGGACTCGGTCCACACTCTGTGGAGCTGCAGCCAGGAACCAAAGCGTGACTGTTTTCAGACCTGGGCGGAGGGAGCCATTTTTGGGTGGAATCGCCTCACCCTGGGATCACTCCCCAAGACAGAGGGTGTGGTGTGCACACTGGTCCATGGTAAGCAGTGCCACGGGGCGGTTCCAACAGCAATTAAGATTTCAAAATGCCTTTTCAGGTTAGATCACTCAAGGCAGCTCCCCTCCGTCCCGTGGCATAACTCAGAACAATGATTGCACGCAGTGGGAGATTAGCACTAATGACTAGGTGTTCAATAAATACCTGGGAGATGAACCAATGTATGGATGTCCAACTACGCTTCTCATGAAGGATCTATATGAAGGGCAAGAGCCTGGGATGAGCCCGGGATGGAGGCCAGGGAAACATCTCCTAAAGCACAAAACGTGACCCCTTTAAGGAGTCAGGGGAGACAGAAGCACCGTGTTTGAAGAGGTAACGCGGAACAGGAAATTGATCTCCCTAATCAAAGCATTTGGGAGTGCAAAGCTTTGAAGGTACCAGGGTATGAAGTACAAGCACAGATAAAAGGAGTGGACGGCAGTGATTAGAGCCAACAGTCCGCAGTTCTTGGAAAGAATGGCAGAGGCCACAGGAGACAAACCCAGGCTGCTCTCCAGGGTAGTGTGCCTGACTTCAACAATCTCCATTCCCTCTTTGCCTGTCCAGATTGGGCTGCGCTCCACAGATGGGGGCTGATTCCAGCTCCGAACCATCCCCTGCCTCATCCCTATCCCTTCCCAAGACTGGTAACTGGAGTATGTCCCCCGACTAGGCTGGACTCAAGATGCCACTCCTGGGAGGGTTTCCCTCTGGGATACCCCCTTTTGGGAAACCAGGGGGAAATCTAGACTAGACCAAGGAGCTTGTTGCTCATCAGCTGCTCCATCTGCACCCCAACCCCCCTTGATAGTGCTGGGGAAATGATAACGTATTCAGCCTTCCAACACAGTGGGAAGGAGTCTCAAAGACCTCCAGCAAGCAGTTCTGCCAAAGAACTTCACTACAAACACGCAGGCCGAAGCCCAGAGGACAGCTTCTTTCATGGGGCACTGCAGAGTCACGGTCCACAGTCGGGGGGGGGGGGCGTGGAGACAGTTGGGGTGTATATACTTTTTCTCTTTGGCTTTGCGAGAAAAACACCTCTCGTCCTGATCTGCAAAGTGTCTACAGAGCACCGCTTCTTTTTCGTACTAACTTTCAAGGAAGGAGTCTTTGAGGTGGATGGGGTGGGGGAGCAGCTACCTCCTCTAGACAATACTCTCCCTTATCAGGGCAGACTCGGTCTGGTTTCCTGTCTCCGAGCTCTGGCATGACTGCCTAAGATGAGAAGCAGCGAGGCCTGGACAGACGGGGCCTGAAATGGGAAGCCTGCAGACCATCCCCTCCTCTCCCCCTCAGAGGCACTGGCTGAGAAAATAATCACTTGGCAAACCAGGTGTTAATTGCTTTAAGATTCTAGGGATTTCTTTCCCCATAAAAGCTAGGCTCAATGATAACTAGTAACTTCAAGAAAGAAGTCCACTTTCCAGAATAATGTAATTCCTACTACTTAAAGGACAAGGCTGCTTATATCTTTTTTTTTTTAAATGCAAATGGGTGTAAAAGTAGCAAGAAACACTGAGGAGGAAGGCCACCATTTTATAGCAAAAGTGTAGATTTGGAAATAGAAGAAAAGGCAAGAACCTGGAGACAATGAAGTTAAATTAGGCATGATGACTTATCTGGTGAGGAGATGAAAACTATTGTTCCCATGTCTTATAATTATAGCAACTACCAAAAATAAAAAATACGATTTCCCCAACAATTTAATACAGCATTTAAAAGTTTGCAGCACTTCGGACGGTAGATTAGACCCTAATCAATCCTATGAGCCACCTCCCTGGCCCCTCCCCACCCCCAAGCAGAAAGAATGATCAGGAGAACACCTCATCAAGACTGTCTACCCAATCTAGTTGTGCTGTTTGCAACTTTGGAACTAAAAAAAAAAAACACTTCAATTTGGAAGACTTACGAACTTCAGCTTAAAGGTCTCTTGTGCTACTGATCAACTTAATATTTCAAGTTGCCTTGTTCCAAGAGAGAAAGAAAAAAAAAAGGAACCAAAGCAACACTGGGAATTTCTATATCGCCCAAGATTTTTCAAGGGAGGTATCACTAGCCAACCCTTGGGCTCTGGTAACTTTTGTACCAGAGGCAGATGGAACATTGCACTTTGTATCACTCTATACTCTGCTGTTGTAACTAACTCTAGCAGGATGGGCAAATTAAACGCAACTACCTATTCTCAGGACTGGCAGGTCAGGCCTGATTTGTATGGTAGCATCTCTTGAATTAATTCCATTAGGCACCACTGTAGATCATCCCTTTAAGTTTTAAAGAAAATCCCCAAGTTTGAAAAAAAAAAAAAAAAAAAAACCAAAAAACAAAAAACCCACATAAA